TTCAAATCATATATTTTATTTCAGACAAAATGATAGAAAGATAGTTTATATGAGAAGTTATATATTTTGTGATATTCATTAATTAACCAAAATATTTTCAGTTAAATGTTGAAAAATACTTAAAACTACTATTTGTAGTTATATTAATGCAGTAATGTATGCACTAAATTGAACTATTGTTGTAATGTTGAATAATACTAAAGATATTATGTTAATTTGTTTGTTTATTTATTTTTATATTATACTTTAATGGCAAATGCATTCGGTTAACGAATCGGGTAAATATTTTATAGTTCCAAATATTTTTGATCAATAATTAATCATAATTTAAAATTACAAAGAAATTTTTTTAGTTTACCCTATTCGTTGACTTAATTCTGAATGTATTATAGAAAATAATAGGTAAACGACACTAAACGTTTAACGGTCGTTTGTCTAATCATCTTTTGAGTCAATAAAAAAAAAAAAATAATAATAATAGCGATAAATAACGCTTATAAAATTGTAGACTTACCTTGAAATACTAAGAAAACGATATTGTCGGCTTAAAGCAATTGTTGTCGCGGTAAACGTTTAATTGTTAAATACAAAAATAAAACAAAGAAAGCAAAGAAGAAATTAAGAAGTAAATGATTTTTATAGAGCACAATTATTTGTTAAAGTTAAGCTTAGGCCGAGAAACCAAAGATAATTAATATAATATATAATTAAATTCTGACTGGCTTCCAGTGTTAAACTCCACGTGACACTGCTTGTTAGTATTTGGTTTGCTGGTAGGTAGGTAGGTAGGTATATAAGAAGGAGAATAGCTAAGACGTTGATAATGTGTAACTTTTGTACTCATGTGTCCGTCTTATTGTGAATTATCTGAATGTACAATAATAGTTCATTTTAGGGAACTCCTTGACAATGTTATCGAGCAAAACAGATACCGACTTGCATGGAACGAGAGCTTTTGTTTTATGCAAGTTAAATATTATTTAAAAACAAATAATTATGCCATTTCAACGTCAAATTCACAAAATATATAAACATACCAAAAAGACACATTTTAAGCTTGGCATTTATAGTTGAACTGGTTAGCAGAACATCAAGTTTTATTCGTAAAAAAAAAATGCAGTAACTAATATTTCTATAGGTAATTTTTGGTTGTATACAAGTTACCTTGAACACACTGGTAGCTATGAACATTCATACTTCAACAGAATATTATCATCTACTTAACCTTAAGTAATATCTACTTGGATAAACGTTCTGGAAAACCATAATTGTTGTCCTCGATTTGAAAAATTGCTTGCATGTGTAGAAGTAAGGCTTTTTTTAAACTATATCCATTACCATTACACAACATATTGTATAAATAGGACATTTTTGAGCCGTCTAGACAGCTCTTGATTATTTTTTTGCTGAACCCAAAATAACACTTTTTTGGAAGAGCGACTAGGATTGTTGTGGGTAAAAAATTGTCCGCTTTTTAACAGATACAGTGCGAACTTAACTAAAATTATAAAATTGTCAGTATTAAATTTTATTATCCGAGATAACACGGATACTTAAGCCGTATTACAATGGCACAACATTAGCTGCAGTGTACTGACAAATAGTATACATTCACTTGTGCCGGTTTGTATGTATGACGTCATTGTAGACAACCCGTGCGATAAGTATCACATTAAAAACAATATGTCCATTGCAGTACACATAATATATTATTATTGTTAAACCATCCGAGAAGGGGTTGGAAATTATAACTAACCCTAAGTATAGAAACTGCACTGGTGCACGTGTCTGGCGTAGTACATAATAATATTATGCTAGCAGTCACGAACAAAAAAAAAATAAATAAACCCCACACAATCAATGTATAATATTATGCATAGGAGTCCCTGTGTTGCCCTGTGTTTGTGTGGTTTTTAAAATACTTATAAACATTATTAATTTAATGTTGCCAACGACTGCAGCAGTTGTATAGCTATATTATTATTTATTAATGCACATTTCATATGCAGCGACTCAGTTAAAAATGATTGTATACTTTGTTTTGCGGGATTACCGATAATATCCTTGGTTACATTTAATAATGTGTTGATTGGGAAAATTGTAAACAACACTAGAATTGCGGTATTGAGAAAGTTCTGTTATGGGTTTGACGCTTAACAGTAGCAATGCCAGTTGTATCTCTCGAAATTCGTTTGTTCAGGTCCAAAATATTGAGAAGAAATTGCCCAAAAGACGGAAACCAGGCTTATCCCGAATGAGGCAGACCAATGCGGCAGATATCCAAAGAGTTTCGATGAGACGCAGCAACTGGCAGCTTTATACTTCCAAAACGTACCTACCTAATTATGGTGTAAAACGTGGAATTAACATTTCAGAAAAATAGCAAGTTACACCTTGGCGGTAGGCAAACGGGGAAAATGAGTGATTTTTCTTGTATAAGTCTCATATTAAAAGTTGGTTGTGATGTTTGTGGGACAAGATATCCAATGTACTCTTCACAGTTGCCAACCTAACTTGACCCAACCCAGACACGGTGTAGGTATCTTAAAACTAAACAACTTTTGACATGAATACGTCTTATGGTGGGAGTCATTCTGAAAACTTGTCTGCGACGTGTTAAGTGTCACGATTATGGAGGGATTAAGGGGGAGGATTATCCATGTTCCTATGTATCTGCATGAAGTGTTGTTAACTTTTCATTACGTAACCTAACCTAACCTTACCTAACCTAGGTTAGCGGCTCAGCGACCGGCGACCAGGTTGTCGGACAGGCCGTCTTTGTCGGGGAACGCCAGCCCGCAGTCGACGGTCCACCACGGGCCGCACGGCGCGGCCGCCGGACAGTGCGCGACGATTTCCGCCGTCGGACGTTACTTGTCGCACACCGAGTCGACGCGCCTGAAGATTTCCCAGCGAATCGAGCCGTTACCGTTGTTGGACAACATCCCGTTCGTCGTCTGCATGTCCACCGGCCAAACGCACAACATCGGCCTGACCGTGCAACAGTCGTTGTCGCTGATGAAGCTGTCGGCCGCCTGTTGGCCGTTCAATTGTTCGTTTGGGCCGCTGACCAACGGCCAACGTCAACGTCGACCGCGGACCAAACCCGACGACGGCAGTGGCGGAGCGCGCCGGGTCGATCCCGGTGCGCCGCACAGGCTGTCCGAGATCGCCGAGAACGAGTGCGGCGTCGACAGGCTGTCGGCCGTACGGTACGCTAATAAGTGCAGGAGGATGAACAGGTTGACGGCCAAGATAAACGATGCCGTTCTACGGTACGCCGAATTGACCGAGTGAGTTATATACAGAGTGATCGTTTTATCGCCAACCACTCTCAATATCTCATTGGGTTTAATTACCGTCAAAGTTTACAAAATGTTGATATAAAAATAATTAGTTTAGGAGGAAGGTAAAAACAAAAAAAAAATGGTGAAAAATTGAGATCACATTGTACAAAAACACTATGAAAAAAAAAAATTAAATTTCTTATTAAGCCCTTTGAGATATTGAGTGGTTTGCAATAAAATAGTCACCCTGTTAAGTCTTTAAACTGCTATCAAGTATTTTATCAGTCGACTTTTAGGGCTCAACCGTTAAGACACTTAGCAGCACCAAGTGTGACATTGGTTGAATGTTTTTATTTTATTAATTAACCGCAGATTAACTACTTACTATAAAAGTTCTGAAAAATATATGATTTTAAGTTGTCTTTTACTTTGTAAAGTATTTTTTTTTTAGTTAATTTTAATTACATAATTATGAATTTTACAAATATTGATCTTGTATAGTATTTCCCATAATGTAATATCTCTTAGGCAAATTGAAAATATTGGTCCAACGGATCACTCTTATTCATATATTTCAATTTTTTTAAAAAAGGTAAATATTAAATAAAATGAACATCGCCATGTGAGTCATGTCTGCAAAACCCATAACATTTATACCGATAAGACGCCTCAGAGTACTTAGATAAAATTATATCCCGGGGTTCTAAGACTATGGCCACAAAGTAGAGTAGATATAACACGGTTTTATGTTATGACTGCTTTTGGAAAAGCCGTAAAACCCACACCGAAACTTAAGGTGTAATACACTAGGTCTCGAGACTAGCAAATATTTGCTGACTTGAGCTTGTATACTTGATGGTATTTTATAAGAAACAATTTTAAAGTGGGGTGTTCATAAAACAAAAATCCAATTAAGTAATGAACGGATTAAATACATCCTTGTGTGTAGATCAAGAATAGAATATCATTCAGGTTGATTGTATACTCTGAAAAAATAATCTAGATTTTTATCACACAGCCAAGTCTTCTAGTCAAAGCCATATTCTTCTCGACTTGTTTGAAATAAATAACAACAGAGTACCTAAATTTTTTTTTTTTTTTTTTGAAACCGTGTAAAACAGCTATAAAACTACCTATTTTGGGCTTCTGGTTGAAAAAATATCAAATAAATTGCCAATATTATCGTTTTAGGAGTTTGAAGTATTCGTTGAAGATAAACGATGTGCATTTTTTGCGAGAAGTAGAGAAGAAGGTATTGAGCCAAGAATCGGTCATAAAGAACAGACTGGAGAAGGTGTGGAGAGTGTTGTGCCAAGACGACAATGAGGATAGTGTCGTGGAATGGCCCAGAAACCATCAAATCGACACTCTGCAGCTGTTGAAGAAATTGAAAAAGGCAAAAGTAGTGGAAAATATTTTTTTAACCGAATGACAAATTCAAATTAAAAAAAAAAACAGATATTTTTAACCTAACCCATACGAGTGTTGTTGACTATACTTTCAAATAGATATTTTGTACTCTATACAAATATATAAGCTATAAGCTTAGATGATAAATGATAAATAAAAACACAGAAATTGCATAAATAATTATATTATTCAACGACTACATCATGATCATTATAATATAATATAATATAATATATAGAGCATAAAACATGTTGAAAGTTGATCAAAATAGTTAAAAAAAAAAAAAGTTAAACAATTATTAACTCTAACTATATTATAATAGTTCAATATATAAGTTTATTATTGTCTTTAAGGGCACAATGTTTCAAATAGCAATTTCGATTTTTTCACATATAACATTATCATAAGTTTTATAGCGATAGCAGCTTGTTGATAATAATATTTAATTATTGTTTAATGTATAATTTTATATTTAAAAAAATCAAATTGCGCACCACCGAATTCACTCGAACAACTTCTATAATAATATTATAAATATTTTTTTTATGTACTAAAATAAATTACATTCGTTTAATGTAATAGGTATATAGTGTGTAGGCGAAACAATAATAATAATAATATATTATAATTATATTAGTTAACTCTATAATATGTAGGTAGATATAGTGATAGTATTTTTTATTTTTAACATATTTTCGTTCAGTATGTGGGAGGTAATAGTAATGTTTATAGGATATGCAATATGCAATAATTAGAATTACACTAAAAGGGATCTGGCCATCTGGTGTAAGCTTAATTAGATAAAATTTGGGTATAGATATATTTGGATAAAAATATAATAATAAAATTACACGCGACTCGAATGTCCACTAACAATATTAATATGAGTAAAACAAACATAATAAAACAATAATACTGCGAATTTTATGAAATTGTCGACTGATCCTCTTCTCATCTCACTATTTTGTCGGAATTTATCCAAAAGTTAAATCAAAACTCGTTGCTCTAAGAAAAGCAACGTACCTATTCTAGTAAATATTGTATTTGTTTTTTATTTTAAGAAAGAGAACCGAATATTCTAAAATCCAACAATCCAACCGAATTGATATAATATTGGTAACTAATAAGAGATGTACTAGGTTGTTTAGGAAAATCATAATGTTGGACTGCACTGGCTATGCACAATATTATGTTTGTGAAATATTACAGCAATTGAAAGAGTTTTGAGAAAACCTCACGCCGGCTAAACGACCGATACAAACAAACAAACGAAAAAAAAAAATAATAAAAACATTAATAACAACGACGGTTTGTGACCTATTTTTGGTTACAAATACAATAATAATTATAATAATGAATGAAAAAAAGTAACTGCGCACTTCCAAAGGATTCACAAAGGTTGGTTTATTTTGAGTAAACGAGCTAAACATTATCCGTCTGTTCCAAACGAGTTGCCTTGTGCCAATTCCATACTGGCCGGGGTAGGGCTGCTGGTTGACACAAGACATCGAATCATCACATCTAGTTAAGCTTTTGACGGCACCCCCTGAATAGATATGACACCGCCGATTCCGGGCAATACGGATGTGTTCATCAGGAATGCATCGACCTCTCTGGCCACTTGACGGCCTTCGGATATCGCCCAAACGACCAAAGACTGACCGCGGCGACAATCTGAAAGAAAGTAAACAGCAACACTATCAATGATTGGAATTTGAACATTTTAACAATTGCTAACCTCCGGCTGCAAACACTTTAGGGACGGACGTGGCGTAACGGCCGGCTGGCGTCTGGAAATTGGATCTAGGATCAAGCGCCAAAGACAGTTCGTTGACGATCGTACGCTCTGGTCCGAGGAAGCCCATCGCCAACAGAACCATATCACATTTGAAAATCACTTCGGAATCCGGCACTTCGTCCATTTTCCACCTGCCAGCTTCGTCTTTGGTCCAGTTCACCTTGACCGTTTTGATACCACTGACATGACCTTTGCCGTCGTCAACGAATTCCTGTGCAACACGAAATTATAGTCCACACCACCAATCCCGAGTATTGCTTTAAACGCGCAAATACCTTGCTCATGATGCAGAACTGCCTGGGGTCTTTGCCGAATTTGATCTTGACTTCCTCGTGCCCGTAGTCCACTTTGAACACCCTCGGGAATTGCGGCCAAGGGTTATCGCGGCCTCTGGACTTAGGCGGTTCGGGAAGGATTTCAAACGACGTAATCGATTTTGCTCTCTAGAAAAATCACACACGTAGAAAATGAATATTGCACTCGAAAGAACATATTTAGGTAACACTGACCTGTCTCAACGACGTGGCAATGCAATCGCATCCAGTGTCTCCGCCTCCAATAACGATTATGTCTTTATCCCTGGCGAGTAAAGGTAACTCTGTCGGACCACCGAGTTGTTTCTTTTGTGAGGATTCCAAGAAGTTCATTGCGAAATAAATGCCTTCCAAATGTCGACCGGGTATGGGTAAGTCTCGGGGCCAAGTAGCTCCTGTGCACAAAACTACAGCATCGAACTGATCCAAAAGTTCCTGGAATCGATTCATATAATTATCATAATATTCTTATCTATATTCTATATTATTATTTAGCCAAGTACCTTGGCTAGATAATCTTTCCCGACGGAAACGTTCGTGTGGAACACTATTCCTTCTTCTTCCAGCAGCTTGACACGTCTTTGGACGACTTCTTTTGACAGTTTCATGGTCGGAATTCCGTACTGGAGCAAGCCACCAACGCGATCGTTTCTTTCAAATACTTTTACCAAATGTCCAGCCTTGTTTAGTTGATGAGCGGCAGCCAATCCAGACGGTCCGGATCCTACTACGGCTACAGATTTCCCAGAACGATTCGTAGGCGGTTCTGGTTTAATCCAGCCCTGCTCGAAGGCGTGATCGATAATTGCACACTCGATATTCTTTATGGTGACAGGCGGCTCACTAATGCCCAAAACGCATGCACCTTCACAAGGAGCTGGACAAACACGTCCGGTGAATTCTAAAAAAAATACATTCGAGTAGTGTTATCATATTTTATAGAGTAATGCAAACAATGATATTATTCTCCTGTTATCTTACCAGGGAAGTTGTTGGTCTGCAAAAGCTGATTGAGAGCTTCTTGCCAGTTGTTATGGAAAATCAAATCGTTCCATTTCGGTATGATATTTCCCAAAGGACATCCGTGCGAGGACTGGCAGAATGGAACGCCGCATTCCATACACCGGGCAGCCTGGACTCTGAGGCCTTTCCTCACGTGTTGGGTATTGTAGATTTCATCCCAATCGTTCATTCTCTTCTCGGCCGGTCTATACATCATCGTTTCACGCGGATATTTCACGAATCCTTTAGTTTTGTCCAGAATCTTATCCAGCCTCTTCTTTTCCATCGCATGATCGTTAATGGATTCTTCGATGTCACGGACACCGGGTTCGTTGTGAACGGGCTCTGAGACGTGCGAGATTTTCGTTTCCTTAGTTTCTTCGGCTAGTTGTTTCAAAGCTCTTTGATACTCATACGGGAAGACTTTTTTGAATTTTGCTGCCGATTGAGGCCACGATTCTAACAGCTTCGAGGCAATGACCGATTCGGTTTTTCTCACAAACTCTTCCAAAAGAGATTTCACGTAGTCCAGGTCTTCTGGACGGTCCAAAGGAAGTAGTTCCACCATTTCTGTATTACATTTGCTAAAAAAAAAAATTGTTTGTAAATAAATAATAATGCATTTAATTTCAATTCGAACAGTACCTTTTGAACGTTCCATCGACATCGAGAACGTAAGCAATACCACCGGACATACCGGCAGCGAAATTACGTCCTGTGAGACCCAAAATTACTGCACAGCCACCTGTCATGTACTCGCAGCCGTGATCACCAACGCCTTCGACTACAGCAACAACTCCGGAATTTCTCACAGAGAATCTTTCGGCAGCAATACCCCTGAAGAAGGCTTTTCCACTAGTGGCACCGTACAAACAAACATTGCCAACAATCACATTAAGCTCGGATTGGAATGTAGACGATTTCGGAGGGAATATAACAATTTCACCGCCAGAAAGACCCTAAAAAAATTATATATAAAGGTCCATGTGTTAACATAATTCACAGTTTAACTTATTATCATAGAGTTTATTGTCTTACTTTTCCAACATAATCATTGGCGTCGCCTTCCAAAGTGACGTGAACTCCTTTGGCCAAAAATGCGCAAAAACTCTGACCTGCCGATCCCTTTAATTTTATATTTATGCTATGCTCCGGTAAACCGTCATCTCCGTATTTCCTATAGGAAAATCAAAAAAAAAAATTATATTTCTTTGGGAAATCATATAATTTTAGTTATAGTAAATTACATTGAAATGTGGTAACTCAAGGTGGACGCGAAAGCACGGCATTCGTTGTTGATAGTAAGTTCTATTTCGACGTTCTTTTGTTCGCCGTCGATTACAGGTTGAGCAGCAGTAATGACTATGTTGTCCATGCGTTTTTCCAATTGGAAATCCTACGAGAAATTAAATTTGTATTTATTTATTTTGAACTAGCTTAAACTACAAGCAGTAAAAATGTTTAATTATAAAATACAGGGTGTAGCAAAAAGAATGGTGAGGTTTCAAACGGCTGTAGGTTGTGAAGTATTGGACCTACAGCGCTCTGGTAGGGCTTGAATGAAAGAGGGAGTTGTGAAGTTTCGAATGACTGGCACTATTGTTGACCTGCCGTTTTTGTCGCCAGCCTTCATTGTTCAGTTTGTTAAGATGGCGTCCTCACAAGAGAAGTGATAGAGTTCACGAAGGGTAATTCAGTTACGACTATGAAACATCTAGTGTCAGAGACATCTAGTGGCAGTCATTCGAAACTTGACAACTACTCAAACTTGCTTCTTTTTTATACACCCTGTACAAATAATAATACACCCTGTATTATCTCATCGTTACTTGTGTTTCCGATCCTCCGACTATGTTGACACCGGGTCTCATGTGTAAAGCGTTGCGAAGTACTGGAGTTAAGTTTAAGAATTTAGCCTTAGGGTTGTTGTTGGCGTCGGTCATTTTAAGCAGATCAGTGCGACCAATGAGATCCTGATATTTGGTTATGCCAAGCGTAGCCATGTGTTTGCGAACGTCTTCGGCCAACATGAACAAATAGTTGACCACGTGTTCCGGCTTACCGGCGAACTTCTTTCTCAACACCGGGTCTTGTGTGGCAATGCCCACGGGACAAGTGTTCAGGTGACATTTCCGCATCATGGTGCATCCGAGCACAATTAAAGGTGCAGTGCTCAAGCCGATTTCGTCAGCGCCCAGCAAAGCGGCTACGATCACGTCGAAACCCGTTCTTATCTGACCGTCCGCTTGGACCACCACTCTGGACCTTAAATTGTTCAACACCAGCACTTGATGTGTTTCGGCTACACCGAGTTCCCACGGCAAACCGGCGTTTTTTATACCGGTCCAGGAACTAGCTCCAGTGCCGCCGTCATGACCGGATATGACTATGTGTTCGGCCTTGCCTTTGGCCACGCCGGACGCGACCACTCCGACCCCAACTTCGGAAACCAATTTTACAGAGATCCTGCCCGACGGATTGGCACATTTTAGATCATAGATGAGTTCCGCGAGATCTTCGATCGAGTAAATATCGTGATGTGGTGGAGGCGATATCAATCCTACTCCGGGCACCGAATGTCTAGTCATAGCAATATCCTTGGTGACTTTGTAGCCCGGTAGTTCACCTCCCTCGCCGGGTTTGGCGCCTTGTGCCATTTTGATTTGCAAATCGTCGGCATGAGCCAAATAAGAGCTGGTCACACCGAATCGACCGGAAGCCACTTGTTTGATCGCCGAACGTTTGTTGTTTTCTGCGTCTTGATTCAAATAGCGGTCAGCGTTTTCACCTGTTTACAACAATGGTAATTGTTAGTAGTACTAAAAAATTACCCAACATTGATTATAATATAGAATACCTCCTTCTCCAGTGTTAGATTTTCCTCCGATTCTGTTCATAGCAATTGCAAGTGACGTGTGTGCTTCCAGAGAAATTGAACCAAAACTCATCGCACCTAAACGTTTCAACAAAAACCATACACACGGTTAAAAACAAATTCAACATGAACATTAGATTCTGTCAATTGCAAAAGTCAATAACAGTAGTGCAACGGCTTTATCTGGTGGTCGAAAATTTATTAATAATTGGACATTTATAAAAACTGTTTACCTGTCGCGAATCTCTTGACGATATTGGCAGCCGGCTCGACTTCGGAAATGTCAATTGATTTGGTAGTTGGAATTAATTCCAGCTGACCCCTCAGTGTACAAGACCTGACACTTTCCATTGTAGATTCAACGAATTTTTCATAAGAATTCATGCTCTTACTAGCTGCCGCATCCTAAGTTAAAAGAAAAATAACAATACTTTTTCGGTTCACTACAAACATACTGCATTGCATTATTACTGCAATAGGCTAATTACTTGTAAGTTTGCAATGCTAAGAGGGTCGTTTATGTGTTTTTCTCCTCCGCTGCGCCAATGGAAGTATCCGGGGTTCATCAACACCAACATGTCAGTATTGCGGTCGGAATAAGAGAGGAAATGACGTTCGTACGCTTCTTGAGCCAACAGCTCGAAATTAATACCACCGATACGTGACTGAGTGCCCTTGAAACACTTGTGAATTACTTCATCGGCCAAACCGACCGCTTCAAAAATTTGAGCTCCTTTATAAGACTGCAGTGTTGAGATTCCCATTTTCGCCATTACTTTTGAAATACCACGTTCCATTGCTTCGCAATAGTTCTAAGGGGGAGGGAAAAAAACCATTTTCAATTCGTAGGACGTTACTTTTACATTGCACACTAACCTCGAATAATATTTTATCGGTGTACGATGCATCCAGAACTCCTTCGGCACGTAGGGTTTTTGCCATTTCAAACACCAAGTATGGACAAATTCCGTCGGCTCCGTATCCCAGCAATACGCACATCTGGTGAACTTCTCTGGCTTCGCCAGTTTCGACTATCAGACCCACTTTCATACGTAGACGTTTTTCAATTAGGTGGTGATGCGTGGCTCCCAATGCCAACAACATGCTTACTGGTATTCTGAAAATAGACATACCGCGTTGCAAACTTGTATATTTGTAAAAAAAAATGAGAAATTCCATTTATTACCTTTCAGCCGAAGCATTTCGATCCGACAGTATGATAAGTTGATAACCGGCTTTCGAGGCGTTGGCTGCTTCCTCGCATATGCGATCTAATGATTTCAGAAAACCAGACGGACCTTCTCTCTTGCTGAACGTAACGTCAATGACTTTTGTCTAAAAATGTATAAATATTAATTATGAATACAACAATTATTATAGCGAACACAACTTGATGAAATTCCAGAAATATACCTTCCAACCACGATGTTGATTGTTTCGCAAGACTTCTAAATCGTACAACGACAAAATTGGATTGGGCAAGAATAGTCTGTGACATTGTTTCGCACTCGGTATAAGAATATTGGCTTCGGGTCCGATTGGGCACATCAAAGACATCACAATTTTCTCTCGGAACGGATCGATGGGTGGATTTGTGACTTGGGCGAATAATTGTTTGAAGTAAGAATATATAAGCGGTTGAAACAGCGAAAGGCAAGCCAAAGGAGCGTCGTTGCCCATTGATCCCAAAGCTTCTTTTCTGTAAATAGATATGTTGGTTATTATAGATCAAAGCGATAATTATTTAAATGTTTCGATTTCACGATTACGCACTTTGTTCTGATCATGGGAACAATAAGCATGTTGATGGTTTCTATTGAGTAACTGAATAGCAACAGACGTCTGTCTCCTCCCCATACGCGAGTCATTTCCTGTTCTGGAATATTGTCCCTGATCACTTTCTTGCGTTCACCGCTGACGAACTCGATCGATTTCGCCCGTACTAGACCAAACCCTTTGGTCACCGCTTCTTCTCTTAGATCTTCAATTGTAATCTACAAGTCGTGTAATAATAGTTATTAACTCAATAATGAAGAAAAAAAAATACAAGCATACAAAAAAATCAATCTCAACAAATATAATATTATGTACAAATTATTAAAAACTAAAGTTAAATAACTGAGTTTTCGGTAATATCCGAATTAGTTCGTTGAAAAACTGGCATTTCCAAATTTGTTCACTATTTCTTCGCGACCTTTTTTTTTTTATCACCGGCATCTAGATATTATCGATAACTCAGCAATCACTTCATGAAAGCTTAAAGAACAAATCAACTTAAACGTTTGTCAAGCATATACAAGAATTTTCGTGCTAAAATTAGTATATTTTTCTTGTTTTTCACTTTATAAAAATGAGTTTCTTCAAACAATCATCACGGTTCAGCTATATATACAGTTGGCGGAAGGTCTTAGAAAACTATAAATGCTAAGTTGCTAGGCGTATCACGGGGATAATCTACAAATGTGGGGTAAGCGGTAGAAGCTTGTTTTCAAACCATAAAACACATTATGACTCACCCTCTATTAATTCAGTCCAGAAGATAAATCGCGGCATCGGATAGAAAACAAAATGTTTAAAGTTTAGTTTACCAGATAATACTTTACGTGAGTAAAATGTTAATATAAAACTTGACTAAACAAAATACCTGTTCTCTAAGCCAGTCGGAATGGGGTCGGCTCCTCGCTATGTCCAACTTCAACTGAACGTCTTGTATGATCCGTTTTTCTTTGGTGTCCACCAACAACATACGGCCGGGCTTCAGACGGCTCTGCGGCGTATCACATTTTATCATTAGACACGGACACGGAATGTACTTAGGGGTATTTATCACAGTTACCTTTAGCGCCACGTTAGCTGGGTCAGTGTCGTAGACTCCCACTTCGGATGCCATAACCATGATGTTATCTTTGAGCACGTAGAAACGCGAAGGCCTCAATCCGTTTCTGAGGAATAGCACGGTTAGGTTAGGTGAGGTTGGGTGTGGTTGGGTTAGGTTAGGTTAGGTTAGGTTAGTCCTTGTCTTACCTGTCTAGCAGAGCACCGACATATCGTCCGTCGGTGAACGTCAACAGCGCCGGGCCGTCCCACGGCTCCATTGCGCAAGCGGCCCAGTTGTAGAAATCCCGTTTCTCCGACGGCATAGTCTGGTCGTTTTGCCAAGCCTCCGGCACCATGGTCATGACGGCTTCGGGAAGCGAACACTCGCCGGCGTTGATCAGGAATTCCAGCACGCAATCGGCCGACCCGGAGTCGGACAAGTTGGGTTCGACCACCGGATAGAGCTTGGTGATGTCGTCAAAATGCTTGCTCTCCATGACGCCTTCGCGGGCGGTCATGAAGTTGACGTTACCGCGGACGGTGTTGATCTCCCCGTTGTGCGCCAAAACTCTCAGCGGATGCGCCCTCTCCCAGCTGGGGAACGTGTTCGTCGAGAATCTCGTGTGCACCAACGCCAGGTACGTTTCGTACGCCGGACTCTGCTCGAATCATACAAGGTATTAGCCATAGGTGTAGAATAATACACGGGTGTGGTGGGAATTCCCCCGCAAGTCTGTATAGATTGACAATTTGTGCAAAGGCTATAGATATCGTGCAAACGGCCAAAAACAGCGCGACCGAGTGGACAACTCCACAAGTTCTCTTATTCTAATGGTGATCTCTTTTAAGAATTCGCTACAGCTGTTGTAAAGCGAATGGTTTTATCATCATTTTTTTACATTTTTCAATGCTTTCTCATAGAAAGAATAACTTGGGTTGTGTCCTGTGCACGATGTTTATAGTCACTCACAGAAATGCACCAAGCTTAAGGTGTTAGCACAATATCACATCATGATTAGACCATTTACAATTAATTGGGCAGTGACACATAGGGTGCACTTCTCCTATGAACCAGATCCTGAAATCCTATGAACCAGATTTTAAGAAACATGTACGCATTGAATGACAATCGTGTTAATCAATGAAGAGTCGGTTCAATCAAAGACCAAGACAGTGATCTACGTCTCAGTACAGATTACCGTATGGTAAATGCCGAGATTGTTAAAGATAGATATCTCGGCCAAACATTTTGGATTGCCGCACTTTACCTGTAGGTCGGCGTAGTAGGCCCACAGCTGGTCGGACGTGAATTGTCCCTTGTAAACGATGATGGTGTGCGACAGGGAACATATGTAAAACCTCCTGCCGGGCTTGGGTATGACGTGGGTGGAACGTTTGCGGAGTGCGAAAACCCGGCGCTTGAAGTCGTCCTCGTTGAACGTCTCGGCCGCGTCCACGACAAACGGTTGTCGGATGAACGGCTCGCTATTTCTGGCGACCTCTCCAATTTGGTTATTGCGTACAGGTACTGTTCGCCAGCAAAACACCTGGAAAAATCACCGTCCACCGTTAGAAAACCCATCGGCAAGAGTGACAGCCTTAGGTGGACGGCCACCGCCGCCGCACTAGGACATTCGTGGAGGAGATTGTATATAAGTTTGGCGTAGCTTTTACAGGTGTTTTTGTGTTTAAAATATGTATTACTTATTATACGAAAAGTTATGATTATTATTATTATATACATTGCTGAAAAAGTCTAAACGGAACGTTATACATTATAGTCGAGGAATACACGATTAATGACAGGTCGTCGGGATTGGGAACATGCAAATAAATATCAGTGCGTTGTAAATGTATAACCTGCCAGTTAATACACGGTTTAATATCATAAGTATAGTGCACGGGGAACGAAACAATTTAATTTTCAACTATTTCACATAACTATGATAGCTTATTTTATTAATATAGGAGATATTATACTCTAATCCGGCTATGATATTAGTAATAACTGATGTTTTTTAATTATGTCCAATCGCTTATGTTAATTATAAATAATAATGGTTGGCAAATTAACATGTTTGTTAAACGCCACCAGAATGAAATATCTGATTTTAAAAGAGTGACGAGTGTCACCTTGCACTTATTACAGAAAAATCTTTGTTTTTTTTGGCTCACTAAATGTATATTTTTACCTTTAATAGTTAAAAAATTGTTTTTTACTAATCTATTGCTGTAAGGCAAACAAGTTTTTATGTTTTTTTTTAAATATAAGAGGTACATCGTTGAAACCAATACATTTTTTAAATATCCTCATAACTTGATAACGATTATGTCTTATTGTTTAACATTATTCTTTGCCTATTATCTAAATCTGTAATATATAGTACCTAATTTTTGAATAAAACATTTTTTTTTGGCAAAAGAGCTTTGAGGATTATTTATTCCATACTAGTTTCGGATTGAAGTTAAACGTTAAAAAGCAAACTATGTGCTCAATAGTTAAAATAAAGTAGGAAGTTTTAGTTTAACAGTACTACTGAGTGTCACAGTGTGTACACTGGAGATTGAACAATGTTATAAAGTGCCATACGTTTTAGACTTAAAAAATACAGGATAACAATCAAGTGGCATAACGGATGCGAGTAGTATTTAGGTTCTGATGATAGGTTTCTAGTGTTGATGGTGTACATCGGTTTTTGACATCAAACAATCGTTATTCAAATAAATTGGGGTTGCAACGCATGCCAAAGTAGACAATTTTATTATATATTAAATTGTCTTGTATTCATAAGCGATTTAACCTTATCATAGTGTAACGATAATAATATAGTAATTATCAACTCGAACGTACTATATATGGCGTTATTATAATGATAGAACCTATTATTAAAAAAAAAAAAATGGTGATGTTAAAAAAAAAAATAATAATAATAATTATAAAATTTAAAAAAATAGACACAGATAAATTTACCGTACGACGATAGCGTGAGGTGGTTGTCTATCGATCGAATCGGCTCTATACGGTTTCCGTCAGTTTTGTGTATGTATTTTATTGATCGGGGCCGTTCTGCAATAAACAACATCAAACCTAGCTCACATTTTCTCGCACAACAAATAACCGAGACGACAGTATTCGCACCGATATACTGTCATCGTTTTTCTGCAAACCTTTGTGTGTGTTTGGGTTCACAGACACGGATAATTGTGTGTGTAACAATCGCGCACTGTCACAGTCTGTGGCCATGTGGTGTTACCCAAGCGTTTGCCCTTTTAAACGGTGCTAAAAAAACGTCGGACGTTGGATGTTTTTTTTTTTTGTTGAGATTTTACTTTGGACCTCACGGTTTATAATAATATTTATATTATGATTGCAATACCGGGTCGACTCACTTTGATTTTGCATTCGGCCGCGATGGCCGCGAACATCTCCTCGCTCTCGGCGTGGTGCGCTTTGTCCAGGTAAAACATGCCGGTCGCGTATGTCCCCTCGGCCGGCAAATCCACGCTTTGTTCCTCCCTGAAAAAAAAAGAAACAATCCAAATCAGTTAAAAAAAAAAAACCCCAAATACAGCCATTGAACAGCCAAGTGTTATATTATATGGACCGCGTATTCAGGTTGAAAACAATGGGAGGCAGCCATTTTGTGTACCGGTTTCATGGAAAGTAAAATGGCTACGTTACTTTTCCGTGATACTTTTCCATTGAAAATGCTAGGTTAGGAGGAGATGAAATGATGATAACTCCGTCATGTATTTGATAAATCGTAGAAAACCTAACCTAACTTAACCTCACCTAACCTAACCTCACCTCACCTAACCTAACTTAACCTCACCTAACCTCACCTAACCTCACCTAACCTCACCTAACCTCACCTAACTTAACCAAACCTAACCTATCATGGACAAAACAATAACTGTTCACAATAAAATAAAGAAAAAGTTTCTAAGGGATAGAAACATAGGGTTTATGTTATTTGTTTGGTTTGTCAACGTTTGTCGGTAGCATTGTGTTTAAAGAATATTCCATACAAATTTTGAACTAATTAGACTATTTTTAAAAAAGTTTAAGAGCGCCGTGTAATTTAAAGTTGGAAAAGATGTAAATTTTTTGGGTGTTTTTTTCGACTTTGAAGGAGTGAATTTATTGAATTTTTGGCCCAATAAAGTATTTAGAGTTGCTACACAAATAAATATCCAAGGACAAATAAAAAATAATAATACACTCTCAGCTCCGTATCGAAACTTGTATAAAAAAACGTTCAGGTACCTGCTAACTAGTTTTGGCATAATTGTTAAGATTCGCTACAGCGAACTAGCTGCGTTAGGAACAGACCCAGAAAACGTGCTAAGATAATAGAAGGCAATAAATTATCATTAAGTTTGACCTATAGCTATGGGCCGGAAACAAAGGAGGGCTGTGCCAAAATCGATCTACTTTGATGGCATTCAACGTGGAGTAGGTTTTAGAACTAATCACGTTGTAATTAGGATAGAAAAAAGAAGAAGATAAATACAAGTGTAGAGGTGTAATTTTTAAGACACTATGATTTTTCAAATAATTGTAGTTACAACACGGTCGAGACTTGAGCGTCGTTAAGTAATTGTAATCTATTACAGTGGAAAAAAAAAACCAACAATTAATGATAAAGAGTCGAGTAGTTTTTCAGCGGTATTAAGTAAGCTCTTGTGAAATGCTACACGCGTTTGTTGAAGTGTATTTCAGTATACACTTAAGAATTTATAAAATAATGACTGCAAAAACGTTCTGGTAACAGATAAAATATTTGTACTTCATTCGAAATTTAAATTATTATTAAATATCAAAATTATACTTACAAAATAAAATATATTACATTGACATAAAGATGAACATAATATAATTATGTACCCTACAAATTTGATTTATCCATCTGCCACAGCGCATAATTCAATATTAGCTTTGAGTATTGTTATTGAGTTTAAAAATAAATAAATTACAATTATTTGTTGCTATAAACTATTATTTATTTATCAGTTAATTAATTTAGTCGGGACTAATGGAAATTAATCTATTTGATTAAAAACAACAGCTTTTGATATTTAAAATGCTTACCCATAGTAATATTAATGCATATAATGCTATTATATATATATTTTTACAGTATGTCATACAAAACGAAATTTATGGCAAAACTTCAACGGAACGCAGTACTTGTTTTTGAAGCCATTGTTGTTGGAATTTTAGTGCGATATATCTTTTCTGAAGTCAAGTGTAATTACACCTACACTTCCATTGTGTTCGTTCAAAGGAATCAGTTCAAAACCCATTCAGCGGAAAAGGGGATTGTTTGAATAGGCCCTTAGGGAAACGTTCAATGACAATTTAAAAAAAAAAATTAAGTAGATTAAATACGGAGGGTTACGTCTCGACCGTTTTCAAATCACGACATTAAGAAAATATATCAAGATCTTTTGTTACATATTTTAAGTATAATAAGCAATTGTAATGTTTTTTAATTACATTTTTCAGAATTCAGATTTAAAAGTCACAAGCCTGTCTTAACGTTACTTTACCGAACAGTAAAATATGTTTACAGCAATATTTATAAATTGTAATAGATAGGTTATGTTACCTATAGGTATTCAAAAAAAGAGTACACTACACAAAAAATATTTAGTATACGTTAAAAGTCCACTAAGGTAATATAATGTGTGAAGTATTTACATTCAAAGGTAAACACCATTGCCTAAGACGTTTTCATGTAAATATATGTATATAATAAGTTTCAAATACAGTTTGCTCTTTCATGCATTAATTCTTTTAGCTAGAAATCGTTTCAAGCGATTTACAAACGACAGACTTTAGCACACTTCCAAGTTGTCAACACTTATGGTCGAGTATAGACAGATAAGAACGAAATGCGGTTTCGACAAGTAAACATTATGTCATACTCACTCGTGGCGTACCTAATGCAGTTAATGAGTAGTGAACCGATGAACGTGTGTCAGCTGTTGTAGATTGCTGTTAAGTATATTATGTATTGAGTGTATATTTTTATACTTGGTGATAATATTAATATTGAAAAAAAAAACACCGGCACTGTCTGCATAGTAGTAAAGTTTTTTGTGTCGCCATTACGACAAGCGTAATTTTTTGGGGGTAACATATTTTATTGAGGAGTGTAAACAAGGTCTAAGGAGAAGTATAAAAGCTAGTATTACTCTGTGGTGACTTTTTCTTGGTTCAAAATACAGACCAAAAACCAAAGCTTCTCAAACTATAGGGGCAACGGATCGTAGAAAGTTTCACAATTTGTAACAAAGCGACACGGGCAGAGTATACATAACCACCCTCGTTAGGTTTTTCGTGTGATTGATTAAATGCGATATAATTGAACAAGCAAGTGGTAGTGGCAAACCTTAGCTTGTGGGCGTAGAAAGAATGCGGTATGGCAGTGAGCACACCAGCGCCGTCTCCGGAATCGTTATCGCACGAGCATGCGCCACGGTGGTTCATCCGCATTGCCAATTTTTGAGCATCTCGAACGATCTGAAAGCATAAAAAAAAAAAAATAATAATAAAAAAATGTAACCGTTAAGTGTACACCGTTCTGTGTGTCTTGGCCTAAAAATACAGCTGTTGGTGACGCGGGTTTTTAGCTACAGCCAACGACCAACATTGACCTCCGTTCTTGGACGGTTTTCGTTTTGTTACTTTTCCCTCAATCTTTTAGACACCAAAAAGCCAGACACGTTTTCGACTACTTAGGATGGTCCGATTACAGTTCTGTGAAGATAAACGAGTTCTTTGGCAACTTTATTTAGGTTATGTGAGAAACAGATTTTTGATGTTTTTCTTTTTTTTTTTGTATAAAAATTGGGTTTTAATGTTGAAAAACTTGCAAATTAAATTTATCTAGTTAGAAGAAACTGACATTTTTAAATGAGCATCGGCTTCCAACACATAACAGAGTAAAGCAGCCAATGAATTCGAGTCTCATTATTATAGAATAATTAAGATAAGAACGTCTTATGTAGTGGACATTTTGTCTGGCTTTTTGGTCTAATAGAAACCGAGAATGGCTTTAACTCATAGCGAAAATGATTTAAATTAAAACGAAATTTATTAAAACCTCTTTTTTTCTTAAGTATTACAAATACTCCTTAAAAACAGAGCGGATGCAACCACCTTAACACAAATGTGTTGCGCCAAAATCCAAGTTTAAAATTTTTGAAATTCTAATTTATAATTTGTATACATCTTAAAAATTAAACGTTTCCAATTAGCTTTGTTTTTTTTTTTTGTATATTCGGTAAGTAAGTAGTAAAACGAACAAGTGTTGGCAATAATTATTTTTAAAATGTCCCTTGTTAAGAAATTAAGGTTAAAACGTCTAAAATAAATACACGAGTTATATCGACTGGTTAGTTTAAGACATTTTTTCTTTCTTTTTAAATGTGCAAGGACTTTGATCAGACCAACTGAGAGAGAGAGAAAGTTGATAAAAAGATGGGTTTAAACGTTGGCTTACAATTATTAGGGAATTGAAACCGTGCTGTAGTATTGCAATAGTCCCAGCAAAAAATTATCTGTGTTGTCCATAATCGTTTTTAATTAATTTAAATTTGATTATTCTTTTTTTTTTCAATGATATATTTTAATTAAAACCGGATTAATTAAAAATCTTATTAGCGGGCACTTTGCAGTCTTTCAACGACTCTGTTTAGCATATTATGTTATCACAGCGAGAAGATAACATCATTGTCTTGTCAAGAGGTTAGGTTCTAGTAATTCTTTAGTATACTTCTTGTTCTTAATATACCTTGAGTATTTCAGTTGTATATAATTGAACTTACCTAATTCGACTGCTTAAGGAGTCGAGACGGAAATATTATTCACTTAATGCAGTAAGAAATGTTGTCGGTTAAGTATTTAAGCGCGGTGCTAATTAAATCAGACAATTAGGAATTTCATCGTCGACTGCTTACTTTGCAAGCACTTAGCATAAGTAATGAAGTACGTTTTCGAATAAATTCAAGTTTGAACGTTAATATCGCAAAACCAATATACATGTTGAAATTGTATACGTTTTCAGTTGATTTTTTTCAACTATTTAAAAAATATACTTTAAATAGAAATGAACTTTTTAGCTGCATACTTTTTTAAAAACATGCTTTTCTAAAAAAAAATAGTAAAAAGTGAACTAAAAAGTAAAAAAAAATTGTTTTCTGCAAGAACAATAATCAACCAATCAATTGAAGCATATTTTTTTTCAAAAATGTAAATTATTTTGGAAAACACCCGAAAATTAACTACAATTTTAAATAACGTTAAACATCTTTAATTATTGACTAAAAAGAAAAGCGTGGGCCAAGTGCCTAATAAATTTATCAGATGAAATTTCAGATAATGTTTTATATTGTAAGTTTTTTTTGTAATTTAAATTTGGTTCAATTTTAGTGTGTGACACAATACTTAACTCAACGAATTTGGACTTTGTTGAATAGGGCCCACGCTGTTATTTAAAGTCAGTGACATCAGTTTTTTTACTATACTCTTCAATATTATATGTAATTATGTAAAATATAAGTAATTATCGGACAAAACCCTTTCGCTTGTTCAAAGATTTCTAGGCGGCAGCGGTCAAGGTTGAGCTGTTGTCTGATGATAATTACCCGTTTATCAGTTTTGTGTGACAATTATTTCAATTTTTTTTTCTAGTCATCATAGTAACAAAACGATAGCACTCGACCTTCGTTATCTCGGCGACCATAATATTGTATTATTATTATTTTAATCGGTTAAACGCATCGACACTGATGAGAGCAGATAACACCACTCGGTGTTGCGCCATCGGGGTAAATAATTATAATATTATGAACAGACAGAGCTGCTGATAACTGAGCCACAATTAATGTGTAGTATGGAAAAAAAACCGTCTATACAAAACCAGGTTTGACCAGATTGGCAGCCGGTGTCGTGTCAAAGGTCATCGTGGACGTATATTTAGACAAAACATAATGCAAAATATATTATATATTATTATACCTACAAACGGCAGACGATAATGTAATAATTGTTATTCGGAAGCGTGGCCGTCCTGTACAAAGTACACGAACACAACCGTAGGAATTCCTGCAACGGTAAATAACACTAATTAACCGTAATTAACCGTTTATGTTTACAGAACAAAAATACTACCTTGAAATCGAAAGCGATAATATAATAATAATAAAAAAATATGTGTGTATAGGTACTCCTCTGGTGGACAGTTATGGCCAAGCCAGAGCCTCGTTTAAGGGGGTGCAATTTTTTGGAAACCAAAATAGTAGGGGAAATATAATAATTGTTATACTTGTAAAAATTCTGGCAATGTAAGTAAATACATAATATTATACCGATTGATATTTCAAACGTTAACCCGTGTAAGTATATACTGCCAATATTAATTGATAATTTATCTCACATAAATATTATAGAAGGACACGGAATTAAAGGTTAATCATCCAAAAAGCACAGATGAACTGGAAAAATATTATTTAAGGTCATCTTAAGTGATTGGAAATTGAAAAACAGCTGACATCTCTTTCGATTTTAAATACTGAAAGCGAACTGCTCAAATGTATTAATTATACAACAAATTGCCGTTATAAGATCAAGCAAAAAGATCATTTAAAATATAAACACCATGTTTTTGACATTTTATTATTTATGTATTTCGTAATAAGCTATTGTCATTTATAGCAGCGATTAATAAACTCACAAGTGTGGTCTATTAATCAAGCCGATAAGTATTTTTTCCCCCCAAAAACTTTGCATAACCAAAATTATTTTGAGACTTCTCAACTAATGGCTATTGTAACAACCCCTTTTTATAAAAAAAAAAATTAATAATTTAGTAATGAAGTATGCACAGGGGAGGACTTAGGGCGTATTAGCACCTCCAATTTTCAAACAAGCCCCCTCTAATATTTTTCCTGTGTATGTACTAAAACCTGTGCTTATAAAAATGTTTAATATAACGAAAAACCAAAAGCTTTTTGCCGAGTTGATAACAGTACTCAGTATTCATAGTATTATTTATCAACTTCGTGTAGCTATCACTCTCAAAATAAATATTCGACTTGGGGTTACAATGAGACATCACAGACTTACAGATTTTCCAATATTATAAATAGAAAAAAAGATATGACACATTTGCTGAACAAACATAACGTATAACTCTTGTGATATAAAAATACCTGTAAATTGTAATATTGTATACATTTTTTTTTTTTTTTTTTTTTTGTAATAAAATATACAAATGCTAATAAACTAAAGTGTTAAATGTTACCTTCCTCGTTAATTTAAATACATAGAAAATGCAGAGCTTAAGCACTCTGAATTTTTTTCCATTGAAATTGCGCCTAAGGAAGCATGATAATAATTAATGTTGGCTTTAAATTGAACGGTACAAACAATTGCGCCCCACTTAAACATATTTATTGGAGTCACTCGTTTAAAAAAAAAAAACAAGTTTAATGTGGCACTGCACTCCACTGTAGATGGCAGTATTATTTTCAAAAGTGGAATCGACCATTAAATAAAGCGACGGGGAATAGGAAAACGCATCCCTAGGGAATAATTGTCGACCCCCTCAACGGATTCGTTGACATAATTGGGTTTTTTTTTTATCAGAAGTTTTCTGGCTTCTCGTTGTGAAATCGAGACGTCCGTTTTCGGTTTGGCCGTCCACAAATTGAACTCACAAAATGGGGCTAATCTTTGTCGTCTGGATCGACAACCGCTGTCTTTATTCTTTCATGATAATATATTCAAGACGTTTATCGAGGATCTCTTTGCACTGAGAGCGAGCCACTAGATTTGTGACGGTACACGTCAAGTACTATTATAATAGCTGGACACAATAAAGAAGTATGGGTGTTATAATTTTTGTCAAGTGACCGGTCGTTTAAAGAACATGTTTCTTACATGAAAAAAAAAAAAATAAGGCATTTAGATTTTTTAAAATAAATAGTTTCCAGTTTAACGACCCAAAATTGTTTAGAAATGACATATTGTTAAGATTTAGTATGCACACTCCTCTCTCAATAGGCTTTTCTCTAATTAACTAATCTGGTTAAAGATTGGTTGTCTAGCCAAGATTCTATTTTTGTAAATTATTTTATTGTTCAGTAAATATTATGATCATATCATTTTTCATGTTGCACGTTTGATATTGTGTCATCTATTACATTATAAATTAGTTTTTTTTTTTTTGTAAAATCTGTGTACCGCTTGCCTTTTAGGTTGTAAATTGTTCTTTTCAAACGAGTACAATACTATTATTAATATTTTCAACGGTCTGGGAAGTGTTTTCGAGGGGTGGCTGTGTGTTTAGTGGGTCACGTATATGCCAAGGGTAAAACAGTTGGGGCGCAGAGCAGTTGGCAACGTTTTTGGATGGGCGAGGACTAAACTCATTTTGGTGGCATAGCACACAAGTCAACTGCAGCCGTCGGCTCTCATCGATCCACACACAAGTTCTGTTAATATTGCCGCCACGCCAT